GTGTAGGGGACAAGAATCATTTTTTACGGTTTTGTAAGTTAAGTAGATATAGCCTTTTCTAAATCTTTCTAAGTTTTTTTCATCCTCAGTAAAAGCCTTCCGTAGTAAAAACTTTAAACTCGTTTATCAACAGAATTGCATTTTCAAACGCATAACCAGTATATATATCGAAAACTACTATTTCGATTTAGTGCCAGTGTATTATGCTTGTTTTTTGGCCTAGATTTTACTTCATAGACGAAAAGCGAGCAACTTTTTAGTGAAAAATTGTTATCTTAATCTTTAGCTATCGTCATTTTGTTACAAATTAATCTTTCAGCAAACCGTTCTGATAAAAATTAGATAAACTTATGTAATATTAAAAAGTTCTCGGATTTTTTATTTCAATTAATCCATTTCCGAATAGTAGTGGTCACCGCAAAACGCTTACTAGAAAATGCTTTCCGAGACATCAACTATATTTATTATAATTTTCAGTATTTTTAAATGAAGAAATTACTGAAGCTTTATAGAAGTATGTTTATTACGATAGATAAATGTTTGCAAAACAAAACTCAAAGGTTTGCCTTAAAAAAATTGTTAAATATGAGTATTGAATTCTCTTAAGTAGGCATACTCTCTTCAGTCCACAAAATATAAATTTGGGAAAAGTGTTTCTCAAAATTCGGTTAAAATATCAATTCAAGTTAACGTTGTAAAAGAAATTATCATTCCTCGCCGAGTTACATAAAAAAATTGGAATTTTGAAATAACAATAGTTATAAGTATATATATATATATATAAAAATAAACAATAAAAAAATTCATAAATTTTTGCAAATGTTATCATCGCGAAAACCTGTCCGACAGCAAAACGCAAGAGGTTTCATCGATTTTATCGAAATTCTGGACGAACATACATGAAATAGTTTTTTTTTTGCGATAAAAGTGGTAAAAAATGAACCAAGGTCAAATTTTTTGTTTACGGGACCAAGTAGCAGTGATGCTCTATCAGATGCAATAAGTTTTATTCCGATCGATCAAGCCATCTCGACGTAATCGGTGAACAAACATAAAAAAAAATATATACATGTCGAATTGAGTTACCTCTTCCTTTTCGAAGTCGGTTAAAAAACAAAATTATTCGCTAAATACGTCATGTACTTTAAAAAGAAAGAGATCTTAAAAATTAAGGACCGTTTTTGCGTTGCATACCGTGTCGATTTTAACACATTCAGACATGACTTTTTTTGTAAAGAGAACGAAATTATTTTTCAATGCATACATACTAAGAGGTTTTTTTAAAAAAAATAATTTTCCGTAATATGGTAACGTTTCGAACACATTCCAGCCCTGAAGAATGCCCATTTTTGACATATGAAAGAAATTAGCCTTAAAAAAAATCTCGATAGCGCTTCGATAATTTAATACGTTATTAAAAGAGGCCTGATTTTTTAATTTCGGAACATCCAGCTCTGATGTAGAATAATCATCGGGGAATGCTTATGGAAACAATGACAACGTTGGAACTTCGTTAATTCAAGATAATTTTAAAAACAAAAATTGCGACACATGCACTAAGAAACGTTCTTTCGATCCCTGAAAATTGTTATCAAAAAATTAACCATTTGTCCCCCAAAAAATTCATTTTTTAGGATCGCCCTAGGTAAGCTTTCGCCCTTTAATATTTCCTGGCCCATTCACACACTAAACAGCAATCTCTACACCACTAACTACTTAATTATGTGAAAAAATAAATAATACTAATCTGTAATAGAGTGACTTGTTTTTGTTCAAATATATGTTTCTGTCGACAAAAGGTAGGTCCAACTGTAGCCATGCATATATAAGATGTACATTTACACGCAAAAACAATTATCAACAGTACTGAACCTATTAATTACTTTTGTTGAAGTATGAAACTTAATGTGTGTACACCAGATCTGAAGGTAGGAAATCAGAAATTAGCAACATTTTTATTTTGGTTTGCAAATTTTGGATGTCTTTTGATCTCTTGCTCAATTAATAAAAATTGAAATCAGAATTATACTCGCTGTAGATTTCGTGTTGTCTTCGATAGACCGACAAATCAAGATAGAAACGAGAGATTTATGATGAGTTTGGACGATAAACGTGGACCTCGACAACGTACAATGGAGTATTTGTACCAAAAATACTGGTAAAAAAATCGATTTTCAAACTCTGATCCAGATATAAACTTTTTGTTTTTCTGAGATTGTTAAATACATGAAGGCTGACAGTGTAACCTATTCAATTTTTCTCATTTATAAACTCATGAAACATTATGCTCTATCCAACGTGAAGAATTTTTATAGTACCCATTCCTCTCATAATTGATAATCGCCTTTTTGTTTTGGACTATTTATGTCTGAAAGTGACCGATAATTCAGTGAAACGTTTTTTAGTTATGATACTTTACTAATTATTTTGTTATACAACAAAAATTAGCCGCCAACTTCTGCTTAAATAGTATCTTAAGCATTTTGTTTGTCGTAACGTATTGAGAAATCGCATATGTATATCATGTCACATTCGCGTTACCGACTATTCACTGTTCTTTTGAAACATTTTATTATCAGCAGACTGCGGATGTTTATAAAAAACCGTATTTTCACAGATACAGAAAAAGAATTGAAACATAAATGGAAATGTGTTTTATGTTTTAAACGATGTAACATGTATATTATTGTTGATATTTTATCTCTTTGCATTTGTGCACATTCTCGTTCATTTCTCTATGTTATCATTTGCCATAAATACATAAACATCCGCAGTCTAGTTATTACTATACGCGTATTTCAAATGTTTCCGTATCATATTTAGTATAAGATCTTAAACCCGAAATTAGTTTTATTATTTCTTTTATTCCCTATTTAAACAAATTTTTATTTAATTTTTTACTTTTTAACTTCCAAATTATTCATATTAGACCCGTCACTTTTAATTTGTTAAATTTCCATATTATATTCATAATTAACAGTTCTAAAATCCTTTACAAACGATTTTTCATGCAAATCTTATAACATTTTGCCAAACAAGTCCGTGATATTGGAACCGGTATTTTCAATTTTTGAATTCTGTAGTAAGATTGATAATCAGCCGTTCCAAAAACGCTTGTATACAAAATGACATATAAATCTGAAAACGAGCACGTGCACGCATACCGATCTGTCAAAAGTTGATAGAAACACCACGTTGCGTCAATCGTCGAGACGATATCGCCAGAAATTGTGATCCAACGATAGCCGATGACGAACCAAACAAAGAATAGGATAAAACATTGGATGCAGGGGCAGGGCTGAACTAATATTTCCTAGGCCCCTGAGCTACGGGCACCGTCGGTCTCCCCTCCAGTAATATTTTCGAAAGGAAAATAAAGCTATAATCATTCTTTACCATTACATTTTTGACAGTGTAATCATTTTTCAACAAAAAAATGTAATAAATAACGTCTTTGACAAAATAATATCAACTAAGATTTTGTCGTGCTACAGGTGCAGCGAATTTTCTCCCAATACATTACAAAAAAAAGTTCAGATCACTATCTAAGACAAAATTGAAATAAAATCACTTTTCCGAGAAACTAGTTTTAAATAAGATTCTGTTAGACCACGAGGATATTCCCTAACCCACCTCAAGAAGTTGAAATTACTCATAGACGCAGTGCAATATTTTGTTTACAGTTTTTCATTGAGTTTACAATGCTATGAATTAACGCTAAATGTTAAATAAGTATAACCAGAAACTTACGAGTCAAAACACACTAGTAAGTTGTATAATTATGTACTGCAGAGAATTACAATGGTACATGTTGCTCTCTTTTGTAAACATTTATTACGAGTTTTATTATTAAAAGAAGAAATGTTATTTTATGTCGTATACAAATTTTTAAGTTGAATATGTACTGGGATGTTCATTTTAAATTATTTTTTTTGCCGAGTATAGTATATTTTAATAATATATATTTTTTTAAAATGATAATAATAATAATAAATAATAATATAAATTTTTAAGTTGAATATGTACTGGGATGTTTATTTTAAATTCTGCGTCCCGAATAGTTACATAGTTCGAAAGTGTGACAACGTGCAAATGTAATGGAAAATTTGACATAACACTACCTTCTGGAACGAGTACGAAAATAATACTACGTGTCAAGTGTATTCGGCGTGTTAGCGTTTCGTGTATTGCATTCCATAGTCCGAGGGATAACCTTTGGAGGGCCTCCAGCTGGCGGGGCCTCCTGGGGCAGTAGCCCCTAAAAAATCCCATGCGTTAAATCGCCCCTGGAGGGACATGCGACGTTCCGATACACCGTCGTCGCGACGACAATGACAGCGGCGAACGATGACGACGACGTCGACGACAGTGCGCTACCGGAGACGAGGTGAACAGTAAACAGAGAACGAACGCAAGACAGACAGAAACAAAGAATGAAAGAACAAAGGATGGAGTTGGCTGGTTGGTTGGTCGATCAGAGGAACAGAGAAACGGGATACGTAGAAAGAGACGGAGCGTGCAAGAACGCGCAGCGATAGACACAGATAGAGAGAAGGAGAGCGAGTGCGAGCAAGACGGAGAGAGAGAGAGAGAGAGAGAGAGAGAGAGAGAGAGAGAGAGAGAGAGAGAGAGAGAGAGA